CAAGATCCACCAAATATCTGCAGAGGAAGGAAGAGACAAAGGTTCAGGTTGAATAAGCATCTAAGGATGCAATTTGAGGAGTCACTGCTAAGTTCTATCCAATGAGAAACGGCACTCACCCCAGCCAGGATATCTCTGGAGAGCCTGGGTTTGCCCTGTGATGGATCCTCTTTCTTAACTGGTTTTGTCTGCGGGAATTGTCGAATCACCTTTGGCTGGCCGACAGGGGGTTCATTGTCGGTTCCTGTTTCTTGTTGAGACTTTTGCTTCTGTTGATACATGATAGAAAGAAAACATTTAAAGTCATGGGCCACAGTGCCACTTGAGAGCAAGAACTGAATATCTCCTTAAAATTATAAGGGCAGAAACAAAAACTATAAACTTTTCGAACGATAAGACACCAATCAAAGGAAAGATTCCTTGTAGGAAGAAAGAGAGGAAGGTACTTGTTAATTGTTATCTACCCATCCTATACACTATGAAAAAACGGAAAAGAAATAACTGCACAGTGAGAAAATCCTAGTATCTTTCTTCGAATGTATTGGTACTATCAATTTAACCAAGCTAATTCTATGAGGGATGGATTTTCTTTAATTCAGGAAGTACTTCACTATGTCCAGGAAAAATACATTTCAGGAAGCAGTTGGCTTTGACAATAATATCACCACCCCCTCAACCCCACTGTATATATGGCTCACCTTCTTCATTCGTTCTTCTATAGCACTCAAAGCTCGGGATTTTTCAACTTTAGATAGATAGAAATCCTTCTCCCTCTTTGCAGCAGAAAGTACTAAGGGTAGTTTCTGCTCTCTGACGGCATTCTTATAAGCTGCAACAAAGATTTTGAAATTAGGCAAGTGATTTACCATTTTGTAGAAAGAGTCAACAGAAGGCTATCAATTATATACCAATTTCTTCAGTAAGATCATCCCATTTGAATTTGCTCAAGTACTTGATATTCCAGAGATCATAATAGAATGCTGACCTCTTTCTCCCACCTGAATATGGGGAAGGTTAGAAGGTAATAACACAGAAATCATAAGAACCCCGACGTGAAAATAAAAGAAATGGCAATGAAGTAGACACCAGAAGTTGATAACATTTAGCAATGCAGAATTTGTCAGAATGCACAATATGCTTGTTACATGCCACCTATTACCTCATTGCATTATCTCAAGCATAAGAAATACTTTAGGCCATGATTAAAGTCAAACTAATAAAATAAAATAAAAAAGAAGCTGCAATTCTAGCAGCAAAGGATAAAAGGAAATATTATGGCTTGTAACATAAAAGATAGTGATTCATACCAATTTGTTCACCGTTTAACATGTTAGCAACCCTTTTCGCTATGCTTTTCTTGGTGAACTCAACCCACCTATGGTGAAACAAAGTGAGAAAACCATATGACTAAATGATGATAAACGGATGCCGGCATCTTTGAAAGTAAATGAGACAATAAATTTAAGAACAAGTAAATTTGATACCCTGTGATTTGGGTCATTTCAGATCCAATACTTGTCGTTCAATTTTAACAGTTTCAGTATTCATGATTTGAACATTAATAAGGTAGCACAATACTGTTAGTTCAAACACAGGAAATTTCTGGATGTTAAAATATTTGACGCATGGATCACTCAGATTAGACTTTCCAAAATTAAAAACTAAACAAAAAAACTAAGAAGTGTATCACTTTTAATACATACAAGCTCCACTAAAAGCTCTTTAGTCTAGATTTATTTTTTAATTTTTTGTATTTTAAATTTATTTTTTAAACTTTAGTTTTCTAAAATTGTAGAAAATCTAATAAAAATTGTCACATGCTAAATTTTTGAACTCTAAACTGTCCATGTGTTTAAACCAACAATATTATATTACTTGATTAATAGTCAAACCACAAGCATTGAAGCTGCTAAAAATAAACCACATGGACTGAACATGAGAAAACTGAAACCCCAGGGAACTAAAAACTATAACTCCCCCTAATTTAATGAAGAATAGTGACTTTCAGAAAATATGATACAAAATCTCCACATAATTCACAGGCTCCCATTCTAGATGGTTTTTAGCAAAATTTATAAGCAAAATGAAGAAATTACACGTACCCTTCTGAGAATACTTGTCCTCGAAATCCACCAGCTCGCTTCCGATGGACCTGGCTTGAAGGATCTGTTATGCAGTATCATCATAGCATTTTCATTTATTAGGACAAAGCAACAAATTCACAGCTAGGATATGCTAATCATTAGTGAAACTACAGTCACTCACCTTCAGGTGCAAGATAAATACGTTGTATTTCTCCAAACTGAGAAAGAATTTGACGAAGTTTCACATGATCCATATGTGGAGGAATTCTACTCAGGTAGCAAACCCCCCGATTATTAGCCTTAATAGCTTCTTCCAATAATTTTTCTTTCATTTTGTTCGTCTTACTACCTGTCTTTCCACCACAAGATTCTAGATCTTTCAAGCTTTCCAAACCCTCATCAATAGATGTTTTATTCCTATCTCCTGCAAGATTCTCTCCATCAACCTCTTGATTTTCCCCTTTATCTCTCTGTCCTTTTGCATTTCCATCATTCAATTTCAGGTTTCCTTCCGGCAGAGGATTTGCTCCACTTATTCTTCCTCCTTCACAAATAGCAGCTTGGTTTAATAATTGCTTCTTCCTTTTGCTTTCTCCACATTCCGAAATTCGATTATTAGAGCTCAATTTCATTTCTCCCGGGACCCCTTCTGTATCAACTTCTAGTTCTTCCTCAACATCATCTTTTTCAATCAACACATGCTTTTTCCTTTTATTCTTATGCTTTTTTCCGCTGCCACTATCTCCCTTATTTTCTCTCATTTCAACAATAATATCTGTATCTTGTCCCTCTATGGTACCCTTTTTTTTAATTTCTTCTTCTGCTTCTTCTACAGCATCTAAACTTTTATCCAACAATCCTCTTTCCCTTATACTTTCTCGCCTCTTTGCCTTCTTGTTGCTTGATTTCTGTTTGCCCCCTCGTGGAGACTTGATGCCATTGACGCTTAGCTCTTCCTCAGCCATCCCTGCCAATGAATCAAGGTCGAAAACCAACAATAAGGAACACAAGCAATTAAAATAGTTCAAGATTTCTTGTGAGGAAAAGATATAAAAAAAATAAAGCATGCACAGTTATTAGTAATTAAATTCTGATGAAAGTGAAACGCCAGGAGAAAAAATTCTTCAACAAAACCTGCATAAACACAACGTAGACTACCTTCTCTCCTAACCTAAAATTGACAACTATTGAATATACATGAAAAGAAAAATCTAAAAGAACTTCAAATTATAATTCTATTTAAACAAACAACAACAAATCAATAGATTAGTTCTGACATCAATCTAATTTCATCCTTTGGATGGCATTGTCATCACCGTTCAATCAAAACCAACTGATTCTTCTCAACACTACAATATTTCAAAATAAAAACAGAACTCGGTGAGGACGACTCACTCACCTGTAAATTAAAGTTCCTCTCGCTGCAAGTTTGAATCGACCCGAACACAACTCAGGTGACTTTGTTTATCCTCGTCGATCCTTTTATCTCTACGTATCTCCGCTTTCCCCTGAGAATAGCTCTCAGCCTCCTTCCCTGCGACCACCGTCCCACTCTCTGTCCTCGTTTTTTTGTCTCTGAACCGAAAAAAGAAAAGCCTAAGGTTTTCTTGCCGAATGCTTCTCCCGCTCTGAGCTCACTCTCTCTCTCTCTCTCTCTCTCTCTCTCTCTCTCTCTCTCTCTTCTCTGAACCGAAACGAGAAGCCCTCCAGGTCTTCAAGCCCTTCTTCGACGCTCCCCTGGACTCAGTTATGAATAATATATAATTTTTTAAAGGAAAATTAATTAATTTATTAAAAATATTATTTATAATGATATGAAGTAACAAATATTTGATATATATAATAGAAATTATATATTTTGTAAAATAATTATGTATTAAATTAATTTTACTTATTATGTCTTTTATCTAATAAAAAATAAATACTAATATTAAAATATGGAAGTAAAAACAAGACTAATTTTTTACTTATTGTGTATTTTACTTTTAATATTTTGTTTAAAATATCTAATTTTTTTTATCTTTAATTAAAAAATTAAAATAATTAATTTATATTTATACTTTTAAAAAAATAATTAAAAAAGTTAACTAATTAATTATTTAAATAATAAATTAATAATAAATATTAAGTATGTAAAGGCCCAAACAACTTATAATTTAGTATAATTTAGCATTAGTAAAGTAAACAATGCTGAAATTTATTGTTTAGCATAAACAATTAGAATTTGAAAATTACATTACTTGTATGTTTATTTAGAATGCCCAAATAAAGACTATGAGAATCCCTTTGGAACTGAAACGAAAAAAATATATATATTTAAAAATAAATATAGTTAACCTCTACTCGAAACTGACGAAGCGGAAGAGATAATTTTTTAACTGGTTTATTATTGTTCAAGATCCGGGTTTTAATCGTCTTGATTTGAAATAGTTAATAAGAAGCGGATGAACTACATTAACTCAGTAAGAATATTAATGTCTTATCACTGATACCCAAAATCAAAGAGTTATAAAAAAACATAAAATAATCGATGGAGCTCATTTCTTATGAAACCAGAATGCTGATGCATTTATTATTCATTTAACTGAAAATGTTAGTATTTTTTCGACTAACCTGTAACTCATCAAAAGCCATTTTTTAAATAAAATCA